AAGGAAGGAAAGGAAGGAAGGAAGGAAGGAAAGAAGGGGAAGACATTAAATGCTAAAACAAGAAATGTTTGTTTTTACTTATTAGGTAAAAATTAGAGATGAGAAATATATAAAGAAAATAAAAGTAGGTATAGTGGTGTATCTCCTACATTTTATAGAATAAAAATTAGAAGGCTTGAGAGGTTAAGCGATATGCCCAACTTGCTATAGTCCTACCAAGTGCTAGTCCAAGATCCCTGATTTAAGTCTTACTCCAATTTGCCAAGCTGCTTTTCCAAACAAAATGTGTACTTGAACAAATACAGAGTGGGAAAAAGTAGGTTTAGAGTTGTTTTTATAAAAATTGATACAATAATTAATCAATAATAATACAACAATACATTACGTTTCAAGTACTCACAACTGTAAACCTACTTTTGCCCCAACCTGTACATGCTTACAGAATGTATTAAAAAATTTAGGACATATTTTGGTTAAAGGTTTTGGTTTCAAATGGTTATTTGTGACTTAGAATACTAGTACTCATTTAGAGTGATCTACTGAACCTAATGAAGAGTTAGAGAAATCAAAGGTGTTACTATTATCAAGATGGAATTGTAAACGTGCCATCCAAAACATTGTAATTGGTTACTGAATACAATCTATACTAATGTCAGATCTTCAAGAATTTTTATTCTTCTAAGCAGTCATAGAATGTAAACTAAAGCTGTTTTCAAGAGTTATGTAGTTTTTGAGTCAAGAAACATTTTGTCTAAGTATGCAAGGAAATTTCAAATAATTTATCTTTCAGCGCCTCTTCTGTTTCAGCTAGGTGTCTGTGAAATGCTAAATACTGACTCTCTTATAATGCCCTGCTTAGGAGAACTGTCTTGAGTTGCAGAAGCTTGTTCTGAATTTGAGCAAAACCTGTCTTATCAATCCTGGTCTACAAATGTTTGGACTTCTGAAAAGACTGGACAAAAGGAGGCTGACCTCCTGTGAAGTAGTGCAGCAAAAAATTCTAACCAGTTTCAGCATTCCATTTTGAATGGTAATGTATGGACCCAATCACATTCTCTCCCTCTTAGAAAGTAAGATGCCTTGTGAACGAAGAGAATTTAGGCATGACTCCAATTTTCCACGAGACCTCGCCTGCTCTACACCCCAGTCTAGGACAAACCCAGAATAACTCTATGACTCAGAAGATAAACGCTTGGGCTACCTTACACATTGGCATGTCCTTTCACAGAACCTCCACTGCCAAAGGTGACCCGAGTTTACATTTTCTTTGCATCTCTGAGGTGCCTAACAAATAGGTCTTATGCAAACTGCATGCGTTTTTAAAATGAACAAGATAATATAAACTACTTGAAATCTTTTTGCATCCCTGTAATTAGTATATATTTTCACATTAATTTCTATTTCCCCATCCTTTATCCAAGAAACCAGGAATAGAGCTCACCATAGTGAGGTAATTTTGAATAATATTGTATGTTTATATACCCCCTATGTGTGCATGTGTGTTTAACTGTCTATTTACCGTGACTAGAGAGTCTCTTGGAATAAGTTATCAGCTAGTAATCATAACAAACTTCTTCTTCTTTTTTTTTTCTTTTTTTTAATTAAAGGCCTGAAGTACCATTTGGAGCTCTGCAGCAATGATTTACTAAAAGCTACCTGAAAGTTTGAAAGCACTAAAGAAGGTATTGAACCTGCCATCTATATTGACAAATAAGCTGACATAGAAATTGTACCACTTTTTGAAAGAAAATATCATAAATTACTAATTTAAAATATAGAATGTCAATATATACATAAATAATTATGACTTAGAACAGTGGTTCTCAATCTTTTTAATGCCTTGACCCTATAATACAGTTTCTCATGTTGTGGTGACTCCAACCATAAAATTATTTTCATTGCTATTTCATCACTGTAATTTTGCTACTGTTATGAATCGTAATGTAAATATCTGTGTTTTCCAATGGTCTTAGGCTCTACAGCAGCGGTTCTCAACCTGTGGGTCATGACATGGTCGAACCTAGTATTATATATTGAATGCCCAAACCTGTTCTTATAATAGCAGTAAATGATAATTCTACTTTATCTATTCTCAGGCCAATAATATTGCTGTCACCATTGTTTCTGTTTGGTTACTCTTTTCTCATAACTCACATTCAGTCCAATAGTAAAGTGTTAAAATATATCCATAATCCTGCCAATTGTTCCCAATTCCACAAGTACTACCCTGGACCAAGCCACCATCATCTCTCACCTTGATTTTTACTTGGTCTCTCTGCTTCTACCCTTGCCTTCTCAGAGTATATTCTCTACAGTAGTCAGACTGATCCTTAAAAAATAGAAATCACATCGTGTCATTTTTCTATGCAAAATCCTTTATTAGCATTCCATTCATTCAGAATAAACTCCCACAAGCTCATAACACCTACCAAATCTGGTCTCTGATCTTATCTACCCTCTCTGCCTTACTGACTCTGACCTAGCCACTTGGTCTTTCTTCAAAAGGGCAAGCAGGTACACAACTCAGAGTCTTTGCACTTGCTATGCCCACTGCCAGAAATGTTCTTCCCCAGATAGCCAGACAGCTTGCTTTCTAATCCTTCCTGCATAATTATTGTCTTCTCAAAGAAGGCTGTTCTTGAACACCCTATTAATGTGTCCTCCTCTCAGATCTATCCCCTTCACTTTCTGTTATCACTTTCTAAAACTACACCAGTTGGATGTTGGACCTACTCCATTCCTTGCCTGGCTTCATTTATTTTTTATTTTCTTAT